AAGGTGGTCCTCCCTACATCCTCTTACCCAGCTGTGAGACTTTCCCTAGACCACAGACCTACTCTCAGCTTCGTGCCACCCACTTCTTCAGGCTTGGGAAAATTTGGTTGCTGTCCCCACACAAGGTGTAGGGGCTCCCTGACATGTCCTCAAGCCCTGAACACCTCCAATAGTCATGGCCCCTCTACTGCTCTGGGGCCACCCTGCTACTCAGGGGGCTTTCTCCTGCAATGTGCTGTCTGTCTGTGCTCCCCCCAGATGTGGGGCTGGGAATCCCTCACTGATCTGCATTGCTCTGCTGCTACCCCAACCAACCAGAGAGTGTGGGGGGGGAAAGTTCTGTTGATCAGACATCCTCCCTGATCATTGCTGCCTTGTATGTGGAACCTTTCTTTTGGTGCCTTTGGTCTTGGATCTTCCACTAGTGATACTGTCTAAAGCCTTGGGTGTTTCGCCGGTTAGACAGTCAGCTGATGCTGGAAAAACCAGGCATGTAGTAAAGAGCAGTCATGATCACAGCTATGATGCTACCTCATGTAAACAGGAATACAAAACCATCCACAGTCTTATCATCCCTCATCTTCATAGAGGAACAGTACTAATGGTTGGGTACTTTTGCATCTTGTCTTTTTTTCTATGCAAAATATTATTTCAGTATGATTTAGTGCGTCTACCACTTTTGAATTTTTTTTCATTATGATTCTGATATGTTCTTCTTTCATTAAGTGGATTTGAGAACATTAGGCTTAAACAGCAATGGCAACTGCAACAAAAAAAATAGCCGGGCATTGTGGCAGGCACCTGTAGTCCCAGCTACTTGGGGGGCTCAGGCAAGAGAATCACGTAAGCCCAAGAGTCGGAGGTTGCTGTGAGCTGTGACACCACAGCACTCTACCGAGGGTGACATAGTAAGGCTCTGTCTAAAAAGGAAAAATAAAGTAACATGCTTACGATGACTACCTATGATTGTATCAGGATCTGTACTATAATTTATTAACTATTCCCTTATGGTTGGGCATTTGGTTTGTTCTCAACTGATCACTGTCATTAAAAAAGCCACAGTGAACTTTTAAATTTAGTAATCTTTGGCTTTCTAGGGTTTTGTTGTTGTTGTTGTTTGTTTATGGTTATTGTTTTTTAGGAAAGGCTTTTAGAAGTAAAAATATTGATTCTAATAACTTAGACATTTTTAAAGCTCTTACTTTCTCTAGTCAAACTGCCTAGTTGGCTATAACAACTTACACCCGCCCTTTACCTGTTGGGTATGTTAGTTCCCCTGTCTTCTCTCTTTCTCTGCTACTGCTTCTGTGCTGACTTTTATAACAACTTAGACATGTAAAAATTACCAGAACTCCTTTTTCAATGTATTTAATAATTATCTCTGTTTTATCTCAACTACTCTATATGTCTAATACTAACAAACTAAAATAACTTTGGTATCAGGTTCATAAAGTGACTTTTCCATTTCCTTAGAGATGCTGCCATTTACTTACTGACGATGAAGAACATAGATAATATCTCAGCATGTTTTCCAAGGTAACTGAAGCATTTGTGCCAAAGCGAAGCTATGGGTATTTCACTGTGCCTGATGACACCAATTTGAAACTTTAAAAGATTTTCACAAGCCAAATGTATATGAAATACTCAAGAGTGATTGTCACATGCATATACCCTGGGTTGGTTTCATCTAAACTGTTCCAATTCCTTTGTGTGCCAAAGGAAGACAGGAATTTACTCCCTTTTCTGATCATGTCATTAGTTTAATTACTTACCGGTGCATTTTTCTGAGGCCCTCGTCAGCCCAATGAAATGACATTCTTTCCATTCACACTGTTCTGGTAGTGTGTTAAGGACATCAAGGGCTTATGAAAGCTGGCTGAGCAAAGCAGGCCCAAAGGTCTAAGGAGCAGAGGGGATCAACAGTCCCCAGGAGGTGGCAGCAGGGTGCTGGGCAGAGCTTGCTGGGTGTGGCCCCTGTGAGGCCCTTGGCTGAGATCTCAAGATGACAGCGGGCATAGCCAGTTTGCGTTGCTATAAAGAAATACCTGAGGACGAGTAATTTATAAGGAAAAAGGGTGTACTTAGCTCACAGGTTCTGCAGGTTGTACAAGAAGCATGGCGCCAGCATCTGCTCTGATGAGGCCTTCAGGCTGCTTCCACTCACCGCGGAAGCGGAGCCGCGAGTGCAGCGATCACACGGTGGGAGAGGAAGCCAGACCCTGGGGGAGGGAGGCAGCTGGCTCCTTTTAACAGCCAGCCCTCTCGCTGGAATTACCAGAGCGGAAACCCAGGCATTACCGCCAGGACAGCACCCAGCCATTCATGAAGGATCCACCCCCCTAACCCAGACACCTCCCACTAGGCCCCACCTCCACCACCCCAGATCAAATTTCAACGAGAGGTTTGGGGGGGACCCGTATCCAAACTATGGCAGCTGCTGAGGATGGCACGAGGGCTTCTGAATTTGTCAGCAGGATTTTTCACCAGGGAGTCACTAGGGCCGGTGGACGCATTTGAACTATTCCAAGGCAGAATTCAGGATTTATAATTGCAGATCAGGAGCCAGAACAAGAAACATCAGCATCAGAGTAAGCGGTAAGCTCACCGTCAGAGCTTCCCAGAGGTTGGTTCTGTTAGCGGATCAGCCAGCAGACAAGGGTCTAGGAGGAGAAGAAAAGAGCTAAAAGAATGTGAAATATCAAGTGTGGCGGTGAGAGCCAGAAACCCAGCCTCTCAGAGAGCAGAACTCAAACAGGAACACAGCAGTAAAAGCCAGTGGAACCACTGTTTCCTCAGGAAGGAAGTAGCAGTGGTTGGTGTTTAATCATTGGGCCAGATGACTGGTAAGTACCTTTTCTGGTACTTAAAGGGCTTAGGCCTAAAAATAGCTGGGTATTAATTTCCAACAAGCCTGGTGTTTCTTCCTTCATATTTTCTATAAACAAACATTACTGAGCACTTACTATCTGTCATGGAAGGTGCTTCAACACAGAGCGATTAGACATCATCTGTCTTG